ATATTTTGAAAAAAAGAGAGTACAGATAAAAATTAATTTTTTGAACTAAATAAAAAAAATACACATCAACTCCGACTCTCAAAAATATTAAAGTTTAACCTTAAATTACTTCATTTTATTTAATTAAAATTTAATTTAAATTTTAAAATTTTATTTTACTAAATGTGTATATTTAGATTTAAAACTGATTATATTCTTAATTTCGAATTAGAATTTAAGTTTTTAAATTAGTTTCTAGATATAGGCTCTAATTTTTTAAAAAAATCGAGACTAATCCACACTAACCTTAAAAGGAAATGATATAATTTTATTATAATAATGACAATGATAATTGTTTTAGTTGTTAATCAAAATTCAAAGATATAAATTTATTACAAAATTAAAATAAAAAATAAAAAAATCTTACCAAAAAAGTGAAAACATTATTAAGATATACAAATGAAAAAAAAAAATACAAATTTTCAAAATTGCATATGTCACATGCCACATAATCATGCCATAGGATTTCGTTAAAAAAACTAACGGAAGTTTGCTAGGTAGATGAATCTGAAATGATTTGGTTAAATATATTTTTTGGTCTTTCTACTATTGAAAAAAGCCCATTTTTGGTCCCTATATTGAAAAAATTCATTTTTTGGTCCTTAAATTTTAAAATTCAGCTCCTTTTTAGTCCTTCCGTTAATTTTTGCTCACGTGGCAAGTTATCTTAACAGCAACTGTTGATGTGGATATTCCATCGTGTAAAAATGTTTATGTGGATTTAATATATCCCTCCATGTCACTCTTTTCGCGTGAAAAAAAAAAAAAAAAAAAAAAACTTAATTGATAAGACCCACATTATGCAATTCTCTTTTCTTTGTTTTTTCAATTTCTTTCAAATTCCTCCCTAGATATCATCTTCTTTCTTTCAAAAGTCTTGTTTTTCATTCATAATCAACTCTTTACGCATGAAATTAGTTAAGATATAATTGAGAATTCATAAAATTATTTTCATAAAACCATTTTCATTAGTAAAAATAAAAATTAATTACTAATTAAAGATATTTATTAATACTGTCAATCTTAACTTTTTCTCTGCAAAACAATCTTTCTCTTTATAGATTTTCAACTCTTTTTTCCTGTTAAACCTAGGTAATGAATAAATCAAGTTATGAAGTTCATAGCAACATGTACACAACAATATGAATCTATCCCCAATAATTTCAAAGCCAAATATCAAACACAATTTGGGTTTCATAATCAACCCAAAACTTAACTTCTCTAATTCAAAAATGAATATGAAACTTTGGTTTCATTCAACTCCCTTATGGAATACGGATACATTCAAAATGAACAAAAAAAAAAAAAAAAGGGTCGAAACCTAGATTTGGGTTTTGCGCGAAACCTTGAAATTGGGTTCCTCATGGAACCTAGGAACCTAGAAGCTAGGTTCCTCGTGGAACCCAGGAACCCAAAAATTAGGTTTCTCACAGAACCCAGGATGATGAAACGGAGGGGAAGAGGATGGCGATTACATGATGCCATGATGCCGAGGATGAGGAGAAAGAAGATGAAGAAAGGAGAAGAGGAAGAAATTAAAACTAATTAAACTCATTTAATTCATTAATTAATAAATAAAATTTTTAATTTGTACCTATAG